AGCTCATATGGGCTTGAGGGTTAGGGATTAGGGTTTAGGGTTCCAAGCAGACGACGGCCTTGGGGGGGTATAGTATGGAATATACCTGCTGTAATGGAGAATCAAATGCAAAAGAACATGGCCAATAGGGGTAATTTAGGGCTAGTTACTGGTGCTCGTATAAAGCCTACATCATACATTCCCTTATTCCCTACTCACCCCCAGTAAGCTTCACGCGGCCCTTGGATCATCCCGCCTTCAGCTTGTTCTGACCGAGTAGGCAAAGCCTCAACACAACATGGACGAAGCTTCGCCCGAAATCAAAGCAAAGGGGGTTATCCAAAATTAGGGGTACCTTTTTGGGGGTCCCATAATATGGAGTATCACTTGTTGGGGTCTATGTCGGGTTCGCCCTATTTATGGAGACCACCGTGTCAGTGCATGACTGATCCTAAAAACCTGGCAGGTTCTCGCTGGTGCAGGGTTGCAAGATAGAAGCAGACTGCAGAACTAAAGCTTGATCCTTGCACATATGAGCCACTGTCTAAAATCCTAGTATCTCCCTTAACAAGCCCTATAATAGTCCCCTGTATAGTCCCCTATATAATCCCATTTAAGGAGTTTAGATTATGGCTCATATGCCGGCCCAAAACTTGTCTGCGGAGCTTCTGAGGATTGGGCTGCCGCAACGCGAAGAGAAGCTTAGATTTCAGCTTCGTGTTCGGTTGTGCGGCATCATTTACCTGAATAGCTCAGCATGACTCTTCGACGGTTCTACAACACACGTCCCTTAGACATGAACACAATGACTTCAGATGAGGCCAGTGCCCACAGGAGACAGGGGACAACTGGAAAGCTTTCTGAGATCAAGCTGCCTTGGCCACAAGAAAAATGACGGCCTGAAATCCTGTATCCACATGTCGCTTGGGCAGACACGAGTTTCGGGATCATTGCAGAGCTGCCCCAGCACACTGGCCACCTAAACTGCATGAAGCTCGTCCATGCTCAGGAGGCAGACGTGCTGGTGCTGCCAGCCTCTGCGAGAATGCGCTGCTTGCGAAGGTTCCTGAGACTTGACTCCGTCTAAGGACGGACATGCTGCTTAGAATGACAGACTTCTATCCATGGAGATTTCGATTTGCTGTCCGCTTGGCATGCTTGTGACATTGTGTGCCGAATTCTAGCACATTCTTAGACCATCATCGGGACTCTCAGGCACGCTGCTGGTACGAAGACGTCAGGATGTCCACCAACAGTGGTATGCCACCCTGTTGGGGCAGGTTGCCATAGTGAGGCTCTTGTGACTTAGCACCTTGCACTGTCATGCTTGTGCCTCTCGAACGACAATGTATCCTCAGTTCAGGGCTTTGGGTGAGAGCCACGCAGACCACGGCAGTACTGTACCAAATATGACCAGCAGCTGTGGTGAGGTGTCTTCGTGAGGTTGACCAGCAGAAAAAGCCTCAGCATCAGCAATTTCAAAATTCCCGTGTCAGATACGACTTTCGTTAGTTGCTGCAAACCTCAGAGGTCGACGTGTACAAAGTGAGCTCGTCATGCTTCGTCTTCAGCTGCTTAACACCTTGGCCGACTGGCAGATACCATCAGGTTGGGATTGACAACAGGAGATAGATGCAGCTCAGCAACACATAGAAAGCACCCCTTGGGACACCAAGAGCTGCCTCAGCTCAAGTTGCTTGACAGGTCCATCTTGAATGACTTCTGCATAGAATAAGATCATAGCACACCACAGAGCGCATTGAGAGGTCTTCTTTGGCCTGGATTCTCTCCTGGCCCTAAGCGAATGCGGCCTCCTTAGAGAAATCCTTTCGCAATGAGACGGGCATGTTCGATTTGCTTACTGGTTGTCAGTAGAGAGAGTAGGGGAACATATTACATAGGGGATGATTTAGGGATTGTATTGCCGTATTCCCTACTAAGAACCAGTAAGTTTGCAACTCCGCGCATGCCCATATACTACATATGTAATCCTTATAATGGGGGCCCCCAAGATGGTACCCTGAACCCTAGATAACCCCCTTAACAGGTACCAAATAGGTCATTATCCCTCTTTAATTGGCTACAAATATGTCATCGAGGGTAAATTAAGATAAGATCCCAATATATCCCATATTCTATACCCTCTATAACCCTTTGCCCAAACCCTAAACCCTAAAGGCTACAAATAGGTCATCGAGGGCAGGGCTTCATGTTCTGACGACCGCAGGAGAGGTTGACCAGCGAGGCCTTGGCTTGATCAGCTTCTGGATACCACTCGTGTAGCGTTTTTTTGGTGGTTAAACACAGTCAAATAATATTCCCTATATAAAATACTATACCCCAAAAGGAAGATATAATCTTACTCTATATTGGGTACCATAGTATCCCCAAATAAAATACTACTCACTCCTCTTTAGGGTTTCAGGTTTAGGGACAATGGAAAAGTCAATGGAATCTACTATATTGGGGCTATATATACCCTATTATATTATAGTAGGTTTTAGGGTTTAGGGACAATGGAAAAGTCAATGGAATCTACTATAGTATACTGGGGTTATATGTGGATAATGGAAAAGAAAATGGAAACTACTGTTGTATATTGCGGTTATATGTGGATAATGGAAAAGAAAATGGAAACTACTGTTGTGTATTGCGGTTATATGTGGATAATGGAAAAGAAATTGAAAATGTCATAGTACAATAGGATATATGTTTCAGTCACATCTTGAGACGCAGGCAGTCGCATAGGACATGAGTATGTGGTTGGAGCCGACCATCACCTGGACCATGCAAACATCTGAATCTTGCCAATTGCGGCCCTAAACCCTAAACCCTAAAACCTGACCCTGGCCAAAGCCTTGACCAAAGCAGGAACCAGCTGCTTCACCTTGCAAGCAGCTGCTGACATGCTCTCAGGAGGCCTGGGACTGATAGTATATTGGAGTTACATAGGGGTAATGGAAAAGAAAATGGAAGCTACAGGGATTATAGGGGTTATATAGGGGCCGGGGTTATGTAAGGATTCTAGGGTATATATTGGGGTTATATAGGGGTAATGGAAAAAAGAGGAATCGAATCTACTGTTGTATATTGGGGCTTTATAGGGATAGTGGAAAAGAAAATGGAAACTTGTGCATGCTCAAGTGCTGCACGCTGTAAGATTATTGCAGGCAAGCTGCTGTCTTCTCAAACTTGTTGTCCTCTCGGTCTGATGTACCACCCAGCCTTGTCACAATTTTAAACGAGTCACTTTCTAAACTCCTAAGATCCCCCTTAATAACCACTATAGTAGTCCCCTACATAATCCCCTATATAACCCCCCTTTAAGGAGTTTAGACTGTAGCTCAAGTGGAAGTATGACATGTTGCACAGCAGTAAGGGCAGGACATATCAAGCACGTGGCGGCAAACCATGGTTCCTCGACAAAGCTCAGTCACCCGGGGCCGCGTTGGGGATTTCAGGGTTACTATTGTTACCATTACGACTACTGTTGCAAGTATTACTACTATTACTTTTATTGTTGCTATTATTGTTACTATTACTTTTACTCTTACTATTACTATTATAGAAATTTCCATGTGGGAAGGTTGCACTGGTGGACAAACAGCTTCTGCATCCAAGCAGCGAAGACCCAACCCGACGCTTTCATCCGTGAGCAGTTGTGCCTTGCAGAGATTGAGGGCCGCCCAGCACTTCCCTCAAATTAGGGTTTCAGGGTTTAGGGTTTTGAGTTCTAGGGATTTAGGGTTCTAGGGCTTAGGGTTTTAGGTTTAGGGTTACACTCGCCAGAAACCCCTCACTACATCTCAACATATTCTAATACGTGCTACAGTGAATATTTCCCCTAGATTTCATCGACATGGGCTCATAGTAGGGAATACATACAGGACTATACTAAACTGCCAAAGGAACCCATGTCCACCCTTCATGGTCGTCTGGTAAGCCAGATGCAGATAGTGGCTCATATGAGCTAGCCTCAACTCCTAGTATTCCCTTTAACAAACAGTAGTTCTACCTTATATAATCCCTATGCAACCACCCTTTAAGATCTTTAAGGAGTTTAGACTATGGCTCATATGGAGCTAATGACACGCTTGGACTCCGACAAGCAAGTCTGCATAGTCAACGCCAGCACCAGGCGGCCGCTTTTTCCTGAGGGCCACCAGCACAACATGAGGCTTCCCAAAATTGGGGATACCCTTTTGGGGGGCCTCTATAATAAGGAACCTAATATTTGCTGTACTGGGGTACTTCCATTTCGGGAAGCTACCATATCCGATGAGCACCGGCGGTTCGAACATCACAAATGCAGCCTTGCCGATGAAGCTTAACAACTGGGGTACCGGCAGTTCGCTCTCGACATAGTTCTCTGACAGGAGATGACGCATGATGATGTCCTGGGTTCACTCCATAATCTATTATTACTACTAGTATCTATTATTACTGCTATTCCTATCATTACAGTTATTACTATTATTACCATTATGACTATGAGTACTATTATTGCTATCATACCTATTGTTGTTAGTATTACGACTAGCATCAAGCCACAGCGCAAGCCACCGCGAGTCAAGGCTGCTTGAAGGTCTCACATACTTCATCTGCGTTGCTGTTACGGAACTTAAAATGTTTAGGGCTTAGGGAAGCTTACTATAATGAAGAAACCCCTATCATTTACTATCTACCCATATTGGGTTACCCTAAACCCTAAACCCTAAACCGCAACCCAGTCATGGTTGCTGTGCCTGCAGCCTGAGTCTGCTGCGTTGAAGAAATACTCTGCAAAGGCTTCGGACTCCTGATGGGAACTCCCTTAGGAGGACCCCCCACCCTGAAATAGTGGTATAATAGGAATATAAGAGGAACCTAATATAATCCTTATTATCCATTATAGTCACTATTACTGGTGGGGGGGGTCCACCTAAGATCTCCCTGTTAATAATACGAATACAACGAATAATATCAAGGATTAGTAATAATAATCATAACCATATGTCCTATTACAATATAGTAGCTTCCATGTTCTTCCATTATTCCCTGTATATCCCTGTTGCTATGACATGCAGCTTGTGCTTCACCGACCCAAATAGCCTTGCCTTCGTAAGGGCGATGAGGCTAACTGGCTTCTCTTCTAGGAAGAGATTGGTCTGCCAGTCCTGAACGTGGGCACCGCCAAGAGCCCACCCTTCAAATAGTAGCTTGCAGCTTCTTTACCATTATCCCTATATAACCCCTATATATTCCCCCCTATAATTCCTATAGCTTCCCCGAAATTGCCACAAGTTCCATGTACATAAGGCCGTGGCATCCCGCTTGTTCACATGCAGGAGGAAGTCGATGACTTCCTGGCTGTTAAAGCCCATCAATGGCCAAAAAGATAGTGTCTGCACTGGCACACCCTAGTCTCCGTAGCAGCAAGCGTGCCTTCATCTGCCGATCGACATCGGAAGACACTCGACCCAGGGATTGGATCTCAGCAGTACGATGCCCGTCTGCTGTTGAAAAGCACGACTTCCAAACAGAGGAGGCAACGCTTAAAACCCTTCAAATAGTAGCTTCCATTTTCTCTTCCGTTATCCATATATAACCCCTATGTAATCCCTATTATCCCTATAATCCCTATAGCTTCCATTTACTTTTCCATTATCCCTATACCAGAGCCCCAGGCTCAAAAGCTGAGCCCATGGCAAGCAGTGGAAACGTGAAGCGTTCACCTGGGTTGCTGTCAAGGAACTTAAATTAAGTTACCAGAATGGGTATCTATGGTAAATAATAGGGTTTCCCCAATGTAGTAACTTAATTTAAGCGCCTTGAATCCCTATATTCCCCCAGTTTCCATTTCATTTTCCATTTTCTTTTCCATTTGATTCTCCATTATAGGGGGATAATATACCCTAAACCCTAAACCCTAAACCCCCTTAACAGCAACCCAGTCACCCATGATTCCACCGTCCACACAATGTGCGAAGTACCGCGCAATGCGGGCAGCCCAGGCGTTGCGTCGCTGGCACGGCACAGAGTTGGTTTAGGGTTTAGGGCTTAGGGTTTAGGGTTTAGCTGTGAACTGGACCAATCCCAGCTCGCTATTCCGAGAGGCCCCCACAATCCTCTGTACTTGCACACCATGACAAACGAGCGAACTGTGGACAAACGTAGCTGAAGTTGGATTCAATGCTAGCTGTGCCTGGTCGCGATCCCGGCTGGTCTGCAAGAGCGACTCAGCTTCGGAGATGGGTTCCTGCAGGGCTGTGCTGCCGCTCAAGCAACAAATGGAGGACCTATGATAGTTGTGCTATCTTGTAACAGTTCTGGCAGTGCCGCTGCTGTTTTGTACAACGCCGGCTGATCTTGGCCTGTGGAACACTGCAAGGATCGCCCATGTCCGGCACGTCTTTGAAGATCTGCGAATCGAGGTGCTGATAGCTGAGTCTGATTGTTTGGCCATCATGCCATTGGGCCTCATCATGCTCGATGGACTCGTCCCAGAGAGCGCCTTCACTCAGCAAGATCTTCACCTGCGCAGTTCACAGCTTCCCGCATCGCCTAGCTCTGGGCACGGCTAAAACAAGGTCCCGGCGAGGGACTTGAGGAACTTCAGAGCTGCGCGCCGGTGAACTGGCACCATGCCCAGCTGCCCCTTAGACAGGGCGCAAGAGGAGTGCGAAGCCATTTGTGGCTTTTCAAAACCTCCTGCCTCAGCCCAGCGGTATCCGTCTTCGTTGAAATGGAGGGTGTTTAACCTTGCCTGCAGAAATTGGAAAGCAGCGACAGTGCATGGCTGCGACATGGATCCTCATCAAAGGCCTGCAGCGGCCTCTTGTAGATGCCCACCTTAAACAAACCAAGTCTCTGATCTGACAGGACATGAGCTGTCAACCTTCAAACCTCGTCAAGTCATTGGCACGAAAGCCTGTGTACTCCGAGACACGTTCTCATACACGGAGGAGATCGAATCAGCGATGAGGTGGCACCTCCATAGAACATGGAGCGGGACGCGATTGCGACTGCCAAGGAAGCGAATCTCTGGGTCACCAACTCATCCAGGATTACCTCACAAGAGTCCTTGGTGATGAGCTGAATGAAAGCAGCTTGCAATGGGACACCCACAAAATCAAAGGCTCGGATGATGCAGTCAATCTTATATGATTGTGCAGGGAAGGTGCGTTGGTCATGTTCTGCGCTGGGCAGCGCACCACAACAGCAATGTCCTGAGGCTGGAAAAAAAGAAGCTCATCTATCAGCCGTGGAGCTGCCAGCGCGTGGCGATTGAAAAAGCCAGGAAGGGTCACTGCTTTTCTTCGTCACTGCATCAACCAGTCTTGCTTACGCGGATCACCCGAATATGCTCGCGTATTTCAGCAGGCAGCTGCAGCATATCGAAGTTCAGGCCTCGCAGAGCGAATCAAGTTGAGCTCCAGCATGCAAGCAAGCAAGGGCTAGCTGGCAGAGCTTAACAGAGATCAACAGCCTGCCAAGATGGTTCCCATGGCACTGTCCTGGCAAAGCGGAAAGATGTGATGCTGACGGCGATGGAATCCACAGCCTCTATTGCCCAAGCATTCCAGCGCAACTCAGAGAGCGTGCCACTTCCCACGCCTCAGAGGACGAACGCAATTGAAAGCACACAAACCTTTCATAAACACGGCATATAGTTTGACTTTTCATGGCGAACACCAAGACAGGGTGCGTTCAGTTCCTTTTTCTGACCCAGACTGAGGCAATCATCATTGTCGGCAAGGGGGCAAAGTTGTCTCAGGGTGACGGCCGGGCTGTATCCTCATCCTTTTTCTTATTTTGGGGAGGAGGATAATTGTTTGCCTTCCAGGGAATCCATCATTAAGTCTTCTGCATCAAACGGATACGATCATGACTTCAGGCGCTCCCGGGGCCGGAGTGTACATGTCTTGAGCAGGGAGGGGGGTGATCATTGGAATTCTAAGGAAAAACAAATGTCACCTGCAGCAAAAGCACGGCGGTGTGCAATCATGAATCTTCCGGCTGTCAATGGCATGAAGTAGCTTGGAGCAGTCTTGTTTCTTGTTGTGGTGTAGAGTAGGTCTCTTAATTCTTATCAAGAAATGCTGCTCTTGATTTTTCTTCTAAAGAAAACAGCTTCTCGTTTCCTTGTGAGAAGAACTATCTAGGAGCTCATTTCTACTGGGAAATGCCCAAGCCGCTTTCACAATTTCAATTTGCAGCTTCAGAATCACGATGAAACTCCTTCCCACTGCATCATTCTTCTCACGGTGGGAGGAGGGGGTTTGGTGATATGGGACCAAACCAACACTCATTTCCCACGTGCTACACCTTGTCAGGGCATCCCCCATCCTGATTATTGCTTAGGGCAAGAAAGAATATCGGTGATCTTTTCTGAGTGAGCTCTCTCCTTTGCCGTTAAGAAGGAAAACCCGCTCTGCTTTGGATCAAGAATCGAAGGAGCCATCTCAAATTTTCTCTTGAGAGATACAGCGGCCCTCAGTTCTTATTAAGAAGATTTAAGGAGCATCCTGCTTTTACGGCTGCGTCACAAGTAATTTGAGAATCTCTGGATGGGGAAATCGCTGGGAAGGAGATTGCGTTGGCTTCAGCGTGTTTTGGAATGGACCCAGGAAAGGCAGCACCACCGTTCTTTGCCCTCGAGACCAAAAATACAATTCTTTCCCAGTTCGTTACTATTGTTCTGGAAGGTCAAAATGCAGATAATCAAATTCTTTTCCATTTCACTGCGCATAATCTTCCACATCCAAAGCAATAAAAAGTGAAGTAGTTGTACATATCAAACACAGGCTTTCTGATGGCTGACTGGCTGCTAGCCAAGAAGGCCGCGACATCAGCCGACATGGCATAACCAGAAGCCTTCGCGACATCACACACTAATAGCTTTGTTCAGTTCTTGCAAATGATCTATAGTCTTAACTCCTAGTAGCCCCCTTAATGACCCCTAGAATTTTAGGAGTTTTTACTAAAGCTCCAATGGCAAACACAGTGCTCCCACCTCCGGGTATGGCGGGTACACCCCCAGACCCAGGTCATGGCTGTACCGAAGATTGTTCCACTGCCTCAGAATGACGCGAGCTACCCTGCAAAGGGTCTGCGCACTTGTTGCCGGCAAGGTTCGGGTTGTGTGTATCGTTGGTCAGTACCTGTTGCAGCACAAAGGACCAACAGTCATCTCTCAACTTGTTGCATCTGAAAGCTGGGCTTCGCCTGCGTTTGGATATTGCCAGCACTAGAACCGTCACTATGTTTGTGCGGATCTTCATCTTTTTCTAACTGCCTGCTTGGTCTGCGTGTGAGACCTGCCTGCCTCTTTACAGCTCCTTGAAGACTGGTGCAGGCATTGAATTAAAGGAGTCAGCCAGAAGTCTGGATCAAAAGCAAGGCATTGCAAAACTTTCTGACTCCATCACACAAGGAAAACTACGGCAGTATGGGCATCTGCCCCGCTGCAGGTGCAGCAACGCTTTGCAGAGCTTCGTCACAGTAAGGGGGTGGGATCCCTGTGTGATTGTGCTCTCTACAACATGTAGCAATGTAAGCCAGATTTGCTTGGCAGCTTTGGCACTGCTCTCTGCCACAGCCATCGCAACGTGCCACCACACAGCTCTTCACATCCTCCGTCAGGATGGCCTCACTGCAGATGGCTGGAATTGCCACAGGATGGTAGTGCTGATCGCAACACGTCGAGACTTTAGAGCTGTCTCGACACCCCGGACAGTCTCTGCATGATCTGCATCCAGACTCAACACATTCTCGCACGTCTTGTGACCACGCGCACGCCAAAGCCTCTGCTCCCTGAAGTCTTGCGCAGGGGTTTGAGGTCATGTTGGCGCACTGGGGTGGTACCATTGCTGAATGGAAGTCACCATCGCAGCACGTAGAGACCACGTTGGGTCGTTGATGACAGGCTGCGCACTCGTCACCGCTGCATCCCGCGCACTGCGAGCGCATGCAGGTCTTAATCTCTTCGGCCAAGAACGCTTCCTTGCATAGCTGGGGTGCTTCTGAATTTGCCGAGTAGCGGTCATGGGCCACGCAACATCGAGATACTGTGTCAGACTGTTTCTGGCACTGCTGACACTGCTCGCCTGTGCAATGAGCACACTTGTCCGTCACACAGCCCCTCACAGCTTCTCTCCACATGCAGGTAACATTATCTGACCCCAGGAGACCCTCGCATGGATTTGATCGTGCTGTGTTGCCAGCTCCGCCATGCAGAAGCAGAGCTAGGCAGGCTCCGACCAATCTACAACCTACCATCGTGGATAGTCTTGGATGCTTGAGCCCAAGGCATGTTATGTCGGGGTTATATAGGGGTTATGTAGGGATAATGGAAACTACTATAGTATATTGGGGTTATGGTACCCTCCTTAAATTTGCAGTCGCTGGACTGATGTCTCTTACTCACAACAAAGAGGATTGCTTCAAAATGCTGCCATGAGCACAAGGGACCCTGTTCCAAGATGTGGCTCCACGATGTATGGGTCTCAACTTGAGCAGTGAATTTTTTGGTGGTTGAACCAAGTAAGATCATATTCCTTATATAAAATGCTATACCCCAAAAGGAGGATAGAATCTTACTCTATATTGGGTACCATTGTATCCCCAAATAAAATACTACTCAACTGTTGCATGACTTGGAAGGGGCACACAGCGGCTTACAGCGGCTAGCCGCTTGCGGCTATCGAGTTTCAATAAGCTGGACATCTCAGAAACTGTTGTAGTTAATGTAAACCCCTGATTAATAAACCCCCTCCCTGAATAGGGATAATAGTAGGGATCCTAATTTTAAAGCCCCTAAAAGGAGGGGGGTTATTAATCATGGGTCTACATTAGGGATGTCTCTACTGTTCAGGCTAACTAGTGATTCCTTCCTCAGGAGCCACGAGACATATCAGCTTGATCTCAGAATCGGAATTCACTTTGCTCAAAGACGTGCAGCTGCCACTAATTGCTAGGGACCATAGACCTAGATGAGCTATAGTCCAAACTCCTATGATCCCCCTTAATGACCCCTATATAATCCCCTTTATCACCCATATCACCGGACTATAGCCTAGATGCGTACAACCCGGCAGGCAACTATGCGACAGCAAGGCGGGTCTGCAGCCAAACAAGGAGAATCCCTGCACGCCTTGTTGCCGTGGAGTATGGTCCCAAGAACGAAGGGCCGGCCTTGAAAGCCACTGTGACAGCCCAGTTTAAGGGGTTTAGGGTTTAGTGAATTTAGGGTTTAAGGTCTAGGGTTTAGTGATTTTAGGGTTTGAGGTTTAAGGTTTAGGGTTTAGGGGGTCTCACGGCCACGGATGGCCCAAGAGGACTAAGCTCGAGTCCCGGCCCCTCCGAAGCTCTCCCCAGAGCTGGCTCCGCTAACAAACGACCTGAGGTTTATCCAGAGGATGCTGCTCAGCATTAGCTTCAAAGCATGTGAGAGTTGCTCAGCATTAACAAGGCAGATCGTGCAGCTTTGCTGCCTGGACACGCATGCTGTACTCAAAAACCTGTCCGTTCCCCATGTCCAGTGAGCACTCCTTGTAGATGGCACAATCCCCGTCAGGGCTGACCTGGAAGAAGTGGCATCCACGATCCATGGCGCACTGGATTTGGCATTGCCTGTGGCTTCGGGGTTTGTGCAGGGTGAAGACAGGTCAAACAGAGCTCAGTCGAACATCCTTGAGTTCATGGCAAGTAGTGGCTACCGCGCATGAAAATGAAAGTCCTGCTGGCTGCGGTAGCGTGACAACCGGCCAATAGCCGGCATATTCCATCTGGCTCTGCCTGCACAACTTGCCCGGTCTGACCTTGGTGTTGTTACAGCTGGCCCAGTGTCAACTTTGCAGGCATAGCCCTCCTTCTTCGTGCCCTTACTTATGCTTTTTGAAGCCAAATCTGCGAAGCGTGTATGTCTCTGGCTCTTTTCGTGACTTGTCAGCTAGTTCAATGGAGTGCCTTATCCTTCATCTTGTGAGCTCGCCTTCACTGCTACTGTCCTGTTCACAAGAAACCAAGCATAATTGACTAATAAAAAGTAATCTAAGTCCGGGGAACACAAGGGACAGGCATCGTCCAGCAGCAGCATGCTGAAGCAGCGGCAACAGGAACTGCAAAGGCAGCATCGAGTCAACATCAGCGCGAACAAAGAACTTGACTGCGAAGCGTTCCTTAGACAGCTCCAGTAGCCAGCGCGTCAGCAAGACTTGCAGCAGCA